GGGGACACCTGTCTCACGTGGAGGCAGATGTGGGCTGAGGGGACACCTGTCTCACGTGGAGGCAGGGGTGGGCTGACTTTGGGCAGCAACTTCACAAAGCCCTAATTACCATCAATCAAGAAAAGCACTACTTTAGAGTTCCAAGGGGAAATAATGAGGAGAAAGAGAAAAGAATATATTCAGGAAAAGAGAAAAGGAGGAAGGAAAATGGGAGAGAACAGAGAAAAGAGAAACAAGTAGGTCCATGTGATGAAGGGGGCATACAAATCTATGTACCTTCTAAAGTACCCCAGGGGCTCATTGTTGGCAATAAACTAATTAATAGACTATTAGTGATAAATATAAATAACGGATAAAGTAATTTAGTAACTGACTATTTTCACTTGTACCATTTTTAAATTTTTAATGATTTATTTTAATTTTATGTGCATTGGTGTTTTGCCTGCATGTGTCTGTGTGAGGGTGTCAGACCCTCTGGAACTGGAGCTACAGACAGCTGTGAGCTGCCACGTGGTCACTGGGAATTGAACCCGGGTCCTCTGGAAGAGCAGCCAGTGCTCTTACCGCTGAGCCATCTCTCCAGCCCCATGTTCTTTCTTTTGCATGTTCATTTCGGTCAGTTCTGTTACAAATATGAGAATGTAAATTTGCGTCAGACTGACATCAGACAACATCGAACATAAACACAAATTTCGTGTTTGCTATTGAACATTTTTTATTCAATAATTGTGAAGACTCCACCTGACTAACCAGAGTTGTGTAGGAATACACCAACAGCTGTAGCCCTCCAGCCCCCACACACGTTCTTCAAACGTGTGTATCAGCTTCCTCAGTTTACCCTAGATTATGAACATTTGGTCCTTCATCCCTTCACAGTAATGTACAGTTTCACGAGCGAATTCCAGTTCTCTTTTCAAGATAAAAAGGCCACCTCTACCATAGTGTGTGTGTGTGTGTGTGTGTGTGTGTGTGTGTGTGTGTGTGTGTGTGTGTGTGTTTTCGTTTTCTTATCTGGGGACCAAAACGGGGCCTTGCCCTTCTAGCTAAGTAGCAAGTGCTCTCTCACTGAGCACTGAGCGGTCCGCGGCCACTGTGGTACTGAACAACTTCATCTGTGCCCATCTGTGCCCATCTGTGCCCCTGCTGTCTGCTCCTCTAGACCTCGCTGATCCTCTACGTCCGGCAGCATCTATTGCATAATTCTTTACATGGTTGTTTCCCGAAGACACCGGCGGTATTGACTATATGTTGTTTATGACTCTTTCCTGCCTCCACAGCAATGTCCCTCTGACCATCCGGCACTGACACTGGCTGTCCTGTGAGACCCCCTGCAGGGGCTGGAGGTGGCCCCGCGGTTTAGAGCATTTGTTGCTCTTGCAGAAGACCCAGGTTTGGTTCCCAGCTCACAACCACCCATAACTCCATTCCCGGGGCATTTGACACAGTCTTCTAACCTGTGCACACACATGGTACACATACACAAATACATATATATGGGCAGGCCAAACAGCCATATAGATAATAAATCAAAAAGTTACATTTGCATTTAAAAGTCCTCTCTAATGTTCCTTCTGGAACTTACCCTCATTCTCTCCATCAGAGATTTCTCCCCAGCTGCACTTCCTGCACCGCGTCCTCTTCTGCCGTATAGTGAGTTAACAAGCAACTTTGCTGGTTTCTCAGGACAGAGACTCACCTTGTTGGCACTTGTTACGGCCTCTTCTAGAAACTGCACCTTGCTCTGCAGGGCATCTATCTGACCCCTCTTGGCTGTGATTTGCTTCTGCATGCCCATTGCCACCTTCATGGCTGCGGGAAAGATGCAAGTCGTACATGTTGAGAGGCTGGCTACTGTAACGTGTGACAAGAGGGCACATGAGAGTCACTGAGGCCCCCGGAAGTGCAAACTAAAATATCAGGGAACAAAGTCTCTAGGGTTACATTGTCACTGCTACAAATTCCCAGAGAGTCCCGACTACAAAATCTATGTGGTGATGTGCTGTGTTTCTTGGCTATTGGAGTTGACTTCAGTGACTACGATTAGTTACATGTTTTCATCGATAATAATCACACTGAACAAATTTATATACAAATAGGGAACACACATAAAAATAGTCATATATGTTTGACCAAGATGATTTGTTTCAGAAACCCGTGTTTAAAATATCATTTAAGACATGTGCTACTAACAAACTTTTAAAAGACTCCAGGGATATCACAACCGTTTCATTCTCAGAGTTATTGTCACATTCTAGAACTCATTACAGTCTCAATAGTAAAAATGCCACAGAAGCACAGAAATGGTTGTTTTGGGAAAGGTGATGGTGTTTTAATTTTTAAAGACTTCTTTCTTTCTCTCTTTCTTTCTTTTTTTTAAAGTTCAGCCAATAGCTTAGGCTTGTTTTTTTAGCTAGCTCTTATAACTTAACCCATTTCTTTTCTTTTTTTTTGGCTTTTCAAGACAGGGTTTCTCTGTGTAGCTTTGCGCCTTTCCTGGATCTCACTCTGTAGACCAGGCTGGCCTTGAACTCACAGAGATCCGCCTGGCTCTGCCTCCCAAGTGCTGGGATTAAAGGTGTGCGCCACCACTGCCCGGCTAAGATTTATTTCTTTAATTTTATATGTATAAGCTTTTTTGCCTACATTTATGTATGTGCACCACATGTGTGTCTGGTGCCTGTGTGGACCAGAAGAGGGCGTCAGATCCCTTAGAACTGAAGTCATAGACGGCCATGAGCCACCTATGTGAGAGCTGGCAATCGCACCCTGGTCCTCTGCAAGAGCAACATGTGCTCTAAACCACTGAGCCATCTCTCCAGCACCAGATGAGAATGTTCCTCAGAATCCTTAGGACATGGCAAGCCACTGAAAAGACAGGAGAAGGCTGTCTTTACATAGAATTTTAAAGTCAGAAGACCTTATCTTTTATTTAAAAGTCAGTTGAGGGAATAGGTTTGAAACTGATATTGCTTTGAGTCAGACCTGGCTATAAATTAGAAGTTAAAAAGAAAAAGGAAAATATACTATTTGTTGAAAACAAAACATCAGAAAAATCCTGAGATTTTTTTTTTCATTAACAACATATTGTTCTTGCCAGGTGTGGTTAGGCACTCCTTTAATCCCAGCACTCAGGAGGCAGGTGGATCTCTGAGTTTGAGGCCAGCCTGATCTACATAGCAAATTATAGCTAGTCAGGGCTACAAAATGAGACTCTGTCTTAAAAAAAATTCTCATAATAATCTGCCAAAATCCAGGTCTATAATTCAATAGTAATGCACTATTTTTTTAAAATAATATTTTTATTTATTTTTTGAAAATTTTTAACTTTTATACAATGATATTTTTAATCATATCCTTTCATAATTACCTCCTTCCAACCCACTGGAGTGGCTCCTACCGCATCCTTCCTTCACTCTCAGACAGGGTCATGTATATCCCAGACTGGCCTTGAATCTGTTGTGTAGTTAAAGATGACCTTGAACTTCTGATCCCCTGTTTCCATCTCCTCAGGGCTGATAATTTAGGGGTCTGCCATCAGGCCCAATTTATTTGGTGCTAGGGATTTGAACCTAGCAATCTCACTCACATGGTATGTGTATGGTCAGTTCACTCTCACTCACATGACACATACATGGTCAGTCCACTCTCACTCACATGACACATGTATGACCAGTCCACTCTCACTCACATGACACATGCATGGTCAGTCCACTCTCACTCACATGACACATGTATGGTCAGTCCACTCTCAC